CTTTAAGAGGTTTATATGGTATATGTGGGTCTCTTTGCGCCTCCCGGGGAGTCACATCTCATAATCCATGGGGCCCACTCTCTGGATCACTTCAAATGGACCCTGTCATTTTGCTAATAGCTTGGACTCAGTGGAGGGGTAAGGAGCAATACTCAATCCCCCGGTTGGAAGGCCCTTACCTTTGTTCCCTTGTTGTATTGCTATGCCTGGTCCTCCTGGGCCTTCTGCAGGTTTTCTTGGGCTAGTCATCCAAGTTCTTCCAGCCTCTCCCTCAGGTGGACCACATAGTGGATGGACCCCTGGGCGGGCGTCTCTTGCTCTTCCCAAGTCTCCCTCACCAGGTCCAGGATTCCTTTTGTCTGGTGGCCGTACATCAGCTCGAAGGGGGAAAATCATGTGGAGGACTGGGGTACCTCTCTCACTTCAAAAAGAAGAGCTGGCAGCTACTTATCCCACAGATGGGGGTCTTCATCCACGAATTTGCATAGCATGGTCTTCAGGGTTATATTAAAACGCTCCACTAGCCCATCAGTATGGGGGTGGTACACGGCGGTTTTGAGGGTGCGGTTATTCAACAGCCGACATGATTCTGCCATGAGCTTTGATGTTATGTTTGTCCCCTGGCTGGTTAGGATCTCCTTCAGGAGCCTGACCCTTGTGAACACCTTCAGCAGTTCATCTGCGATGGCCCGGACAGTCGTAACCCACAAAGGGACTGCCTCTGGGTTATAGATGGTAGTCCATGATTACTAGAATATATTTATTTCTTGCACTTCTTTCCAGCAGGCCCACTAGATCCAAACCTATACATTCAAATGGTGTCCCTACCACCGGTAGTGGTACTAACAGTGCCAGTGGGACCCTGCCCGGGCCCGTTTTGGCATTCTGGGCATAAGGCACAATAATCCCCCACCTTGCGATGTATCCCCGGTCAAAAGAATCACTGGGCCACCCTATGTAGTGTCTTTTCCCGGTCTTGTCCTGCCCACGGTATGGCGTGGGCCAACTGGAGCAACGTCCGCCAGAACTGTCGGGGCACCAACAGCTGACAGCTGTCGACATGAGTTTGTGGGTCTGGGGCCAGCCGATACAGGAGGTCATTTCAGATCCCAAACCAGGGCCCCTGGGTTCTACCTGACGACCGCATCTCCCCTGACAAGGGGTTTCCGCCTGGTCCCAAGCCCGGCTGAGGGTTGGATCGTTCCTCTGTTCCTTGCGAAAGTCCCCTCCTAGGTCTATGCCTGCCTGCTGGTGATCTATACTTGGAGTGACCATAAGGGGCCTGCTCCCCCCGGGTCCCTTGAGCTTCCTTTCTCTGGGTCTTCCTCTGGCTTTTGACCTGCCAAGGCTGCCTGGGAATAGGTCAGGTCTTTTCCCCCAGCACATTCCTGGATTTCGCCTCATAAGAGGCCTGTGAAATAGGGCCAGTCCTGGCCCAACACCACTGGATATGCCAATTTTGGGGCCAACACCACTGTACAGTGATCCTCATGGGGACCTATTGCTAGCTTCACCCATGTCGTGGGGTACGCCCTCACGTCTGCATGGATACACTGTAGCTGTATAGGTGCTCCCCACCAGTCTGGCCTGGGGATTAGCCCCTCCTGAATTAGGGTCTGCACACAACCGGAGTCCACTAGGGCTATTGTCTATAGGCCATTCACCCTAATGGGAATTACTATTTTTGTTCAGTCTCTCTTGTGAGCTCTCGCCCCCATCACCAGTACCTGTCCGTAGCTGCAGTCCATGAATGGGCAATCATGCTTGAAATGGCCCTTCTGGCCGTGCTCATAACAAATAATCTAGCTCGAATCTGCTGAGGCTGCCTCCTGGGTGGGTGTCCGCCTTTCCCAGGGTGGGTCAGTCTCTCTTTGTCCTGTGATTCCCCAGCCTGGCCCTCTGGTTGGGCTGCCTTTGCCGAGTCAGGATGCTCCCTTTGGAATAGGTGGTCCCCCCACCTTGCTTACTCTTCCTCCTTTCCCGGGGTCTCTGTGTTACTCAGCCTCAGCTCGGCCTTCGGAGCTTCCTCTGCTGCCATATAATCCTCCATGAGGGAAACAACTTGGGCCAGAGTCTCGGGGCGGTGATGTTGGATCCGCTCCTTTCCTCTTCAGGAGGAGGAACTGCTCCAGGACCACCAACTCAGCAACCTGGGTTGCCGACCTCTTCTCTGGCTCTAACCACCACCAACACTGTGTCCGAATTCTCTGGGCCACCGCCTAGGGCTGTGCTCCCGAAGGGTTCCGTTCTCGTCGCAACCATTGGTGGTAGGTCTCGGCGCTGATCCCCGCTTGGTCTAGTATGGCCATCTTCATCCGGGGATATTTCGTTGCCTCCCCGGGAACCATGTTTCAATAGGCTAACTGAGCCAGTCCCATTAGGTAGGGGGGCCAGCATACTAGCCCAATGTTCTGGGGGCCATCTGGCAGCTGTTGCAACCCGTTCAAATGTCACTAAGTATGCCTCAGGCTCATCATCGGAACCCATCTTGGTAAGTCTCAGAGGGTATGTCTACACTACCCTCCTAGTTCGAACTAGGAGGGTAATGTAGGCATACCGCACTTGCAAGTGAAGCCCGGGATTTGAATTTCCCGGGCTTCATTTGCATAAGCGGGGACCGCCATTTTTAAAACCCCGCTGGTTCGAACCCCGTGCAGCGCGGCTACACGGGGCTCGAACTAGGCAGTTCGAACTAGGATTCCTATTCCGAACTACCGGTACACCTCATGGAACGGGGCAATGTAGGCATACCGCACTTGCAAATGAAGCCCGGGATTTGAATTTCCCGGGCTTCATTTGCATAAGCGGGGAGCCGCCATTTTTAAAACCCCGCTGGTTCGAACCCCGTGCAGCGCGGCTACACGGGGCACGAACTAGGTAGTTCGAACTAGGATTCCTATTCCAAACTACCGGTACACCTTGTTCCACGCTTATGCAAATGAAGCCTGGGAAATTCAAATCCCGGGCTTCATTTGCAAGTGCGGTATGCCTACATTACCCCGCTGGTTCGAACTAGCGGGGTAGTGTAGACATACCCAGAGATAGTCCACCCAGGCTCAGCGTCCCACCTCCCTCCACTTCATCGGAGAAAGAAGGGGGAGTAGCCTTCCACAGGGTAGCCATCTGTTGTGCCCAGCATTCCTGTTGGGCTTGCTGCTGGCTGGCTAGCTCTCTCAGAAGCTGCTGCTGTTGTTCCTGCCTCCTTGAGGCTTGCAGCTGCTGCTGGTTCGCCAACTGTTGCAATTGGTTTTGTGGCTGCTGCTGTTGGGCCGCCTGCTTTTATTGGTGGTCCATCATCCAGTCAAAGAGCTTGCCAGGGTCCATGGTGTCGACCCTCTGGTTACCAGCCCTCCCCCTTCTAGGGGGATCGGCCCAAAAAAAAGGGAACCAAAGAGAGATTTGTTTTCCTCACTTTTTTTTCTTTCTTCTGGTTTGTAACCCCAAACCTTCCCCCTTTTACCAGGGTGGGGGGGAACCATTTAAGGGGTGTCTTGCCCCGCATCTCTCCCAAAGGATGTTTTTCCAAGTCAGGCCCAGCGCCCTAGTCTCTCAAAGTCAGGTCCAGCAGCCTAGTTTATAATGCTCCTTGTCTGGGGTTCAAGGATAGGGGGGTCTGGGCCCTCCCTCTCCACCGGGTCCCAGCCCAAGGCCCTATCAGTGGCTGGTGATTTCCACCACTGATTCGGCGGGGAGTTCCCCCCAAAACGTACTGAGTCCGCTGGGGCTCCTTTGGTTTCCCGCCCTGAGCTGTTTCCTACCCTGCTCCCCTGGCTGGTGCAGACCCCAACTGTGTGGTTGGTACTGTCGGCGATAGTGGCGGCGGGTACGGCAAGGGCTGGTGAGGCAACAGACTGCAGTCGGCGTGGCTGCTGATGCCAGCGCGGCAGTTGAGGCTTCAGCTCCACTGGTGCAGTGGCAGGAACTCCGACAGCAAGGGTGGGTGCCCCTGTGCTCCTGCAGGAGCTCCTTCCCCTCTGGATGTCCGCCCTAACGGAGCAGCTCCGGCTGCCTTTATACCAGGGCTACACTGGGAGCATGCCCAGTAGTGGTGTGGGGTCGGGGCTTGCTCCATCCAATAAACCTGGCCTCCCCCTCCCTGGCTAATGCGGGGTTGGTTCATGCCATTGCAAGGTGTTACAAGGAGGAGGGAGAAAAATTGTTCTTGGCCTCTAAGGATAGGACAAGAAGCAATGGATTTAAACTACAGCAATGGAGGTTTAGGTTGGACGTTAGGAAAAACTTCCTATCTGTCAGGGTGGGTAAATACTTGAATAAATTGCCTAGGGAGGTTGTGGCGTCTCCATCTCTGGAGATATTTAAGATCATGTTAGATAGACATCTATTAGGGATGGTCTAGACCAGTGGTTCCCAAACTTTTTGGCATCACACCCCCTGTTTAATTTTTGAGGAACTCTTAAACCCCCCCCTTCCCCCAGCAGCAAAACTTGTTGCAAAAAAAAAAGGAACTGACCGGGGCCAAAAACTTGGGGGGGGGGGGAGGGGTTGGGTTGCCTCCCCCCCCCGCCCTGGAATTTCTTCACATATCCCAGTTTGGGAACCCATGGTCTAGATAGTATTGGATCCTGCCGTGAGGGCAGAGGACTGGACTCGATGACCTCTCGAGGTCCCTTCCAGTTCTAGTATTCTATAATAGTTGATATTTCCCATCACCACCGAGTCCTGTGCTTTGGAAGATTCTGTTAGTTAAGAAAAGCTTCATCCTCCTTTTCTCCTTTCTTAGGTGGTCTGTAGTAGCCTCCCAGCATGACATCACCCTTTTTCTTGTTGTTGCCCTTTTTAACCTAACTCAGAGACCTCAACCTCAGTCCAAGTATATACACTTGTAATATATAAGGCAACACCTCTTCCCTTTTTTCCCTGTCTATCTTTCCTGAGCAAGCTGTACCATATACCAATATTCCAGTCGTGAATTATCCCATCAAGTCTGTGATACTTGTGGGACCTCTCATTTGAATTTATACTTCATCTTTCTACCACAGGAAACTGGAGGAGTTTCTGAATTTCAGACAAGTTAAAACATCTTTGAAGGAAGCTGTTTTACTAGATTATTATGGATCGGGATTTTGGTGGGCTAAAGAAAGGGACTTCACTCATCTACAGCTCTCAGGATTCATGGCTGTCTTGAACTTTGTATTGGAGAACATCAGCAGTAAGTATAATTCTTAACATATTTACTTGAACAGAAACTTAGCATGTTCTCTCAATTAATTGTTTTTAATGTAAGTGGCTAATATTTTTAATTAGAAATATTTATTAAATTATTCATCCCCTCCAAGTATAAGCATTCTGTGTGTGCTGTATTTTGAAGATAACTTTTAGCTGCAGATAAACTTTGATATCTTCTGAACAGAATAGACTATTTTTTAAAAATTAACTGCAATTCCCCCCCTCACTTTTTACCATATTATTACCTTGCAAAAAGTTCTTGAATAGAATTAACTAGGAATTGTGCCAGAATATACACGTGGTTTGTGGTTAGGAAAAGAATATTTAGGAATTCCAGGGGTCTTGCTGCCTCCACTATACAAATATCTTAGTATGAATTAACTGTACTACTGAAACTATGGAGAAAAATGAAAGCCCATAAGAAACTAGGAAAGCCCATAAGAAACCTGGCATTGCTTGGGTCCTTAACACAATTTATTTTTGTAAATAAAAGGAAAATGTACACCCTGTATTGAAATGATCGTATTTTTCAAAAATGCAGTTATTTCAATTTTTACTTTTTATTTTGGATTTCTTAAAAAGGCATTATTAAAATGTTTACATTGAAAAAAATTTACTAAAAATATTAAATGGAAATGCCATCCAGTATATTTTTTCTTCATCCATATAAACTCTTATCATTCACTATGTTTTAACAAAAAAGGGCTATCGTCGATTTGTTTCCGGTAACATTTACTTCTAGTTTTCAAACCCTAAGCATTGATTTAGCTGCACCAAAACAGAGCACTACTCCAAATTTCTCTGCTTTATCTCTTTTCTGTAAGGTTTATTGAGAAGCAATTCTATTCCAAGTTCATGCTATTATTCTGGTTCATCTTAGTTCAGTCTCTTTCAACATTTGAGGACTGTACTTGATTTGGTCATTCTATCTCTCTTCTGTTTGGTTTTATGAGAAGCAATCCTATTCCAGACACATCCTGTTTTCTTGGCACAATCAAACCTTTCTGTTCTTTAAGTTATGATAAGAGGAATTTGGTAGTCCTAGCTCTTACCATTTAGCAATGGTAAGATGAAACAGACAAATTCTCTGCAATATACAGTATATCTGTTTTTGCATGTGTATCTATAATACGGGTTGGACCTCCCTGGTCCAGCACCCGCAGGTCCTGACCAGTCCTAAATAAGGGAATTTGCTGAACCAAAGAAGGTCCCCTCCCACCAGCCCACCACCCTCCTCACTTCCAGTCTGCTGCGGCCCCAGCAAATTGGGCTGCCTGGCAACCAGGCTCACTTGCTGGCCTGCCAGGGCATTACTTGCTTGCCTGCCTCACACCTGTTGTTGCCAGCCCCACCACAGATGTTGGGAGGTCCAGCCTGTACTATGTACTATTCACAGAACTGGTAGTGTTGCTTGTTATTAGGGGTGCCTGACACTCCTCATTATAAAACCCTGTTTTTAGTTGCTGAAAACTTAGCCAAAGTTTAACCATTTGGGCTGAAATTTTCTATGCCAATTGTTTTCAATAGGCTGATTTTATTTTATCTTTTTGAAATTTCAGCTAAAATACATTTCAGATTTTTCAGTGATGTTGTAGAAGAATTGTTGTTTGCCCATGTTAAAATATCCTGGTGACCTTTTCCTCTCTTTTAAGAGCTGTAGCACCCTCATGCTTTGAAACAGGGACTTGAAATTTAGGGAGAGAATGGCCTGTGAATCAGGGATGTGTCTTTCTCTGTCACTGTGAAAATGTGCCCATATTTGGCCTAGTGATAAGCTTTTGGAAAATAAATCCAAATCTCTCTCTCTCTCTTTGTGAGTGTGAGTGTGGCAGGCAGGCTTTTGGAAAATCAATCCAAATCTGTGTGTGAGATAAGCTTTTGGAAAATAAATCCAAATCTCTGTGTGTGTTAAAATTTTAACAACTAACTCACTAAAGATTTTGTTTTTAGTAGGCATGTTGCTTCCTGGGGCTGAAGAGGACTTGCCCTGCTCTTGCCATTCTGTTGCAAACTGTGCTGTGTTCAGACACTGTTTCTGAGAACAAGGGTTTATGTCTCCTCTGATCTGCAGTGAGCCCCCAAATCTGCCTGATTCAATTGCAATGGGGAGAGGAGATTAGGAATAGGAGACTAGAACTGGAAACTGGTTGGAGGGGTAGGGAAAAAGGCAATGGAAGCTGGCATGGAGGATAAGCCTAAAACAGGTTAGTAAGAAGTTGGGGTTGGAAGCTAGGGAGAAGACAAGGACTCGCTGTATCAGGAGATTGAGTCCGAGAACCAGTGTGGAGAGGTGGGAGGAGAGAACAATGACTGGTGGGCAAAGAGCTTGCTGGGGAATGGAGGTGAGTATGGAGGTGAACTCTGACACTGGAGGAGAGAGATTATCATCTGGGTTTAAGCTGTAAGTGTGTGCTGACTGTCAGTTGAGCACTTTGTCTTTAATGCTCATCTTGTGCAAAAATAGTTTGCTGTATATGATTGGACTTAAGAAAGTGCTTAAAGGTAATGCTGAGAACAGGGTCTGACACAGCATATGTAATGCTACTTAGGACTGGTGTTCTTTTAGTCGTGCCTTAGTTAGGAGAGTGCTCATTCAATATGCAGCAATACAATTTGACCAATTTTAAAAAAATATGTTCTACCTGGTTTCAAATGCATCTTTTCAAACTTTTAATTATAGCCAAACATATGACACTAGAGGACAACATAAAAGAGCTTGGGAGAGCAATGGCTGGAATAGGGGAGTCACATTCAGAAAAAAGTGGTGGTCTGGATTTCTTCAGTGTTGATCAAGCCAAGGCTATAATCAGTTACTTGAAGAGCAGGTATTCTTCTTTTCAATATCACTTATGTTTTATTCTAGAAGTTTAGTGTTTTAAATGATCTGCCAATAAAAAGAGTTGTTTAATTTAACATAATCAAACTTTGCCAAAAAATTCTGCACATACTAAACTAACCCTTCTGTCCTTCTTCTCCCTCCCCAAAATTACTTAAATAACAAGAGTTTGGCTTCAGACAATACAAACCAATGACTTCAGAGTTCAGACTAAGACTCTGTCTTGTTTCATGAGCTTGATGCTGAAGATTCTGTATTCTTCAAGTGGGCAACAGGAAGTTTTTTTCCTTCTTTTGGTGAGGTATGGAGAGGGGAGGAAAGGGTAGAGTGTTACCTTAATGATTAAATTATAAATGAAATAGTTTTAGGCCTTAGTCCAGCACAGAATTAGATCCATATATGTAACTTCAAACCAGTGAGTAGTCCAATTCATTTCAGTGGAATTACTTACATGGTTAAAGTTATGTACTTAAGTTCTGTTCTGGCTGAAGGCCATAATGAATAAACACAAGTCATGAACATTTGAGATGCAAGATGGGTATTGTAACATCTTTTATTGGACCAGCTTCTGCTGGTGAAAGACAAGCTTTGAGCTGCAAAGCCCTTCCTCATCTGTGTGGCCCTTAAGAAGTTGTCTTAAAAACTTGTTTCTTTCACTAGCAGAAGTTTGTTCAATAAAAGATGTTCCCTCACCCATCTTGTGCCTCAGTATCATCAGACAGGCATGAATATAACACTTCAAACATGAAAACTATTTGAATTTTTAATATAGATTACATTCAAAGACAAATTGGGAGATCTAATGGGTGGATTAGAGAATCCAGTAGCATTTTATGTACAATGGTGTTCTGAAAATCATTTCCATGTTGTTTTTTTCAGGCTACCTATACAACAGTATAAAAGGGATTCATTACTAGTTTGCAAATTACTACCATTTTAAGCACAAAAAGAGATGTGGGTGTAAACAGTCATACACACATGCGCAAATATACACACTAGCAGATGTACTTGGCATTGCTTGGGTCTTAAACTTAAGGCTTGTGGGTTTTTTTGGGGGAAAATAAATGAAAAATGTACATGCTTTATTTCAATGGTTATATTTTTAAAAACGAAGGAAAATCAAGGCTGGAATGAGGGTTCAGTCGAAGAGAGGCAGGGGGTGGGTGGCTTAGGGAAAACGGTATGAAGGTAAGGGGGGGAGGCTCTGGGGGCTGGCCTGCCCTCCAGTGGCACCGCTGTGGCCTGCAGGCTGTCTGGGGAGGGACCAAGCTCTGGGGGCTGTCTCCCACAGCTGCATCCATGCAGTAACCCCCTACGGCCTGTATGCTGTCTGGGGAGGTGCTAGGAACTGGGGGCTGCCCTCTGCAGTAGCCCCACCCTCAGCCTTCAGGCTCTCCACAGGGATTTAGCACTTACAGTTTAGAAGAAATTCTTGAGCAAACAGACCCCCAGACAGATGTTCTCTTAGGTAGATAGGTAAATAACTAGATAGATAGATAAAATGTAACAAATGAAAGGCCTGAAATGTAACAAATGAAAAGGGCCCGTCCAGCATATGAATGCAAGAGCGTAATCCTAGCATTTGCTTCCAGTGCTTGGTGAGTGGCATGCCCCATAGAGCTTGTAGCTTTTGCTGGTGGACAAGAAGGGATAAGAAGTAGTGGAAAGTAATGCCTCCAGCACACTGAGGTATACACTGACCTAGATATACACTTGTGCAGCACACTCCCTAGTTTGAGTGGTAGGGAGACTTGATAGGGAATTGTGACAATATCCCTCCTCGTGTTCTCCAAGCACAGTGCAAAAATGAACTACCCCTTGCTTTGGGCTAGATCAAAATGTCATGATCTAACCCTAAAGTAAAAGTATTTATGAATGTTTTTACTTTTTTTCTTTCTAAAGCTTTCATATGTTTTTTATGGAACAAGGGTTTTTTCCATGAAAGAACACAAAGACTCTTGGGTAACTATGCTTTTAGACTATGCAGGTCCCTGTAGTTTGTAGTGTTTTGACCTAAGAGACTATAGACCTAGTTTTCTATTCAAATCTTAACTTCCATGGGTGTAGGATCAAGTCCTATAACTTTATCAGTGGAATGTTAATCTGGCTAACATCTAATCTTGATGTTAATCAAGTATGTTCATGAATATAAACAATTCTTCCCAAATTGCTGAAAAAATATATAAAAGCCTTTATTTCAGACATTTACATATTTTAAAGAAAAAATTTGGTACATGTAACTTTGAAGTAATTTTAAAATTATACAGACAAAAAAATAACTAAATTTTGTTACGTTTTAATGTGTTTTCCCATCTTTCTTTTACTTGTTTAATTTTTAAATTATAGGTCTGTAGCTATTTTCTAGGAAAATATATCCTTATTAATCTTCTTCACTTGCGTAAATGGCATCATAACAAAATCTTATCCTTTAAGTATTTACATGAGTAAAATTAATTATACCTGCAGTTGTTATAAGCATTGTGCCCAAAAAATTACTATTGGTAACAATAGAAACAAAGAACAAGTACATTAAATTGTATCTCTTAGAAGACACAGAATTTTTGTCCTCAACATAGGATTATTGGTGCTAAGTTAAAAGTAGTTTTATTAAAGAGTGAATTCAGAACTTCCAAAATCGTCGTCATAATGTGTATCATAAAATGTCATTTACATAAGACATAATCTTTTACAGTATACCCTAAAGTAGTTTGTGGGTATAAAGAGGATTTGATGGCTCTTCTACAGATCTTTCCAATAAATACATTAAATAAAAAGATCTAAAACTAATTGTTAGTAAGATAAACAAAATATTTGACTTATTATTGTCTACAGCGCTAAATAAACTTTCATCATTTACAAATGATCTGCACTGTAATGTTACCGAAAATGGCAGAAGAGGTGGGAAGAGTAAGATTCATCTGAAGGTCAAAATTATTATAATTCGTTCTAGATAAATTATGAGGTCTATATAAACACAGACTTATATCTCACTAGTAGGACATGGCAGGAATCAGAGCTGAAGTACCACAGACAAAATGTACTGTAAATGAAATGGCAGATACTGTAGATCAAATTAGTTGTCTGTGTAATCTGTGTCCGGTGAAGAAAATTTGTAGTTTGATGCAAATGACCTTGTTTGTTTTTGTTTTTAAATCTGTTTTGTAAACAAATTAAACTGGGTGGTTAAAATTTTAAGTTCTATTCTACAGTTACATTTTGGAGGGCCTGCTCAAAGGATAATATGGAAGTGGCCAAACTTTCAAAGGAGCTACCATAAAGTTGCCCACAGAATTTGAGAATTCATTTACTTGCATTCATTGAACAGCAAAACACGTACATATACATATGGAAGTTTGCAAATGAATTTGTGCAAGTCTGTTGGAAAACTATTATTATTATTATTATTATTAAAAAGACACAGGCAAAGCCATCTTTGATTCTGAGCTGCTCACAGGTCTGAAAAGCTTCAGAGGGGTAGTTGTGTTAGTCTATAACTGGAACAAGTAAAAAAACAACAAATAGTCCCTGCAGCACCTTAGAAACTAACAAAAAATGGAGAGGGTATCATGAGCTTTCGTGAGCACTTTCTGAAAGAGTGGGTTGTGTCCATGAAAGGTCATGATACCACCTACATGTTTTGTTAGTCTCTAAGGTGCTGCAGGAGTATTCGTTGTTTTTTTTACTTTTTCTGGGTCTGAAAAAGCACCAGTATAATGTGAACTGCCCTGAGGTCCCATCTAATTATAGCCTCCCTGGGCTTCTCTGTCTGCAGTGTTGCTTGGAATTTTACAACCACCAATTCTATAGATCCATACTGACATTCCCATGTGCCTGGGCTCATGAGTGGGTCCTGGGGAGGCAGCTTTATGGCTGCCTTGCTCAGTTCTGGCAGTGGTGAAATATTGCAGGTTAAATGCTTATTGTTCATCTGTCATTTCCAATGCCTACAATTGCATGCATATGGAGAGGAACAAGAATTTGCTGCTCTGTAGAGAATTTAAGTGAGATTAAACATTTTTCCTTCTAAACTAGTTACTCTAAATTCTTCTGTATTGTTAAAAAGTATTTAATTTTTTTCTTTTATTAACATTAGGGATTTTTGCCACCTGCTTGCTACACTTGCCAACCCCCCTTCTTTCTGGTGCGGAGGTCAGCAGCCTTTTCAAACCAAAGAGCCAAACTACATCAACATTCAGAACAAGTGGTCAACAAAGAGCCGCATAAGAATGCCCATTTGCATGACTGAAAATATACAGCTAAATATGATTGATAATTGACATAATGATTAATCTCTCGCTATATATAAAAGGTTTTCTTGCCGGACAACAGAATGGCTTACATATTGTATCTAGAATTAAAGCTGAACATGTGTCTCTTCTTATTAGTATTGAAGTATCTGTCATCTGACCTAAAGAATAATGTGTTTAAAATTCTTCCTTTCCAATGATTTGTGGCTGTGTTTTCTTTTGTTTTTCAGCTTATTTCAACACTACAAACTATATGAATATCTTTTCCACAGTCCCAGGGAAGAACTTGTAATAGGCATTGATGTAAGTAATTTATATGAATAGAACTGATTGAGCAGAATTATTTAATGCATGTCCTATGACATCTGCTTTATAAAGCTCAAAGCAACTTAGTCAAAATTGCTCAAGTGTTAACAGTACAGAACAGAATATTAAAAGTTAGGTACAGTGATATATGTCTTCGCAATGAGTTAGGATTTAGAAAAAATGTGATTTTCTTAGCTGTAATGTTAAATCTGTTGAATTAAAAATATCATTCTGTACAGTATTTGTAATAATGATTTTCAAGAGTTTAATTGAATAATGCATGGCTCTACTTTGAGATCAGTAATCAAAATCAGAAAAGATTACATACAATAACTCTGTGAGTACCACAATTCTAGGATACGTAGACCCATTCTTTTTAATGGTAACTATAAACAAGACTAATATTGTTTGTATTGGAACATTTTAATTAGAAATGTAATATTTTTAAGGCCACGTTTACACTGTGTGTAGACGTGGCCTTAAAAGTGTTATATGTCTAATTAAAATGTTAACTGTATTATGGTTGATTTCTTATCACCGGCTAAATAAAAGAAATTAAAATTTTGTTTCATTTTAGAGACTACTGCATTTTATCTGTAACAGTATAGCAGGGCATGTTATCATTCACTGACTGAGGTGAATCCTGGTTCCTTGATGAAACTAGCAAAAACTCCCACTAATTGAAGTAGATTCAGGGTTTCACCCTTAGTCTTCATTTTTTTTTTCTAGTATTAGCTAATCATGTAAATGATTGGTTCACGCTTGCATATTGGCAACATTATTTTTAAAAAGTGAAGCTTCAGTTAAGAGTGTATTATAAATTAATTGAAAATCTTTTAAAATTGTTTTTACGTAAAGCTCATTTCTGAATGGCTAAAATCAATTATCTGAGTCAGTATGCAGCTATTCAGTGATGGAACAGTGAATAAATGTCAGCTATACCCAATGTCTACCTCTCAAAATGACACACCATCTTCTTTATTAATCATTTGGTGCAGTAGGGATAAAAACACTGGAAAAGAATACTGTCATGAATGAATATCTCTGTTTGTCTTGGCATTTATCTACCATCAGACACAGTTATCCTGTGACATTCAGATTTCCCCTAAAAACAAACTTATGGTTTGAAACATATCAGTGATGAAATTGAATGTGGATAAATATAAAGTAATGCACGTTGGAAAAAATAACCGCAACTATACATACCATATAATGGGGATTAATTTAGCTACAGCTAATCAGGAAAGAGATTTGGAGTCATCGTGGATAGTTCTCTGAAGACGTCCACGCAGTGTGCAGCAGCAGTCAAAAAAGCAAACAGGATGTTAGGAATAATTTAGGGATAGAGAATAAGACGGAGAATATCTTATTGCCCTTATATAAATCCATGGTACGTCCACATCTTGAATACTGCATACAGATGTTGTCTCCTCATCTCAAAAAAGATATACTGGCATTAGAAAAGGTTCAGAGAAGAGCAACTAAAATGATTAGGGGCTTGTAACGGGTCCCATATGAGGAGAGATTAAAGAGATTAGGACTTTTCAGCTTGGAAAAAAGGAGACTAAGGGGGGTTATGATAGACGTCTATAAAATCTTGAGTCGTGTGGAGAAAGTGAATAAGGAAAAGTTATTTACTTGTTCCCATAATATAAGAACTAGAGGCCACCAAATGAAATTAATGAGCAGCAGGTTTAAAATAAATAAAAAGAAATTCTTCTTCACACAGCGCACAGTCAACCCGTGGAACTCCTTGCCTGAGGAGGTTGTGAATGCTAGGACTATAACAGGGTTTAAAAGAGAACTAGATAAATTCGTGGAGGTTAAGTCCATTAATGACTATTAGCCAGGATGGGTAAGGAATGGTTTCTCTAGCCTCTGTTTGTCAGAGGGTGGAGAAGGATGGCAGGAGAGAGATCGCTTGATCACATAATTGCAGCCATCTGTTTGTTCACTCCCTCTGGGGCACCTGGCATTGGCCACTGTTGGCAGACAGGATACTGGGCAGGATGGACCTTTGGTCTGACCTAGTATGGCCGTTCTTATGTTCTTATGATCTTTCATAGCAACAATTCTAATCTACAAAAATTCCACCATAACAAAAATTCACACCAGTTTTGAACTTGGACCTTCTTCTGGCCGTCTGGTATATTATGCACCTGCCTCTTTTAGACTCTCAGGCCCTGTGGCTGCATTTATGTGATCTCTGTATTGTGCAGCTCTGATGATATTTTAGTGCTTAATAAATATTCAGTTATATATTGTTTTCTTTGCTTTCTTACATTCTCTCTAATAAACTAAAATATAACGTGTTCCCACTATTCAGTCAAGTTATTTTCTCTAAAAGCATGTATCTAAATATTTGTGCATACATGCTCTGTGATAGGAATCAGGCCCAGTGTAGTTCTCTGCTTTCGACATGCAGTCCCTTGAACAACCAACTAATCTGTCTGCTATTAAAATTGTCTTTAGGCATGAGTGGTGGGTATAAGAATCAAGGGAAGGCATTGCCTCCCCTGGGTCTTAGTGCCCAACATGTTGGCTATTGCTGTCCCTGCATGCTCCTATAGTAGGTTGTTGCGGCCTGCTGAGCCTTCCTTAGGAGGAGATCTGGTAACTTAAAATGAAAAGCTGATCAGCTTGCCAAACCTATAAGCATAACATTGAACCAGTGAAAGAGCCATTAATTGGCAGTGAAACCATTTACCAGGCATATGCCAACTTGGAGGTATATACTGTCAGTTTCTGAATTTACTGACAAAAACAGTTCTGCAGGTGTAATACAGTTACAAGACCTTTGTTTGAAATTTGCTTTAAATATTGAATTAATTGCTGAAGATTGTGAAATCACATCTCTAAAAAATCCTTTCATAAATCCTTAGATATACCGTGTGAGTATTCATCTTTAGCCTTAAATGTGAAATTCAGACATATAGATTGTTGAATAAATTCTTCAAAAGACCACTCTTATCTAAAATACACATTTAATTTTAATTACTATAGTACAAAAATTGCTTCCAAAGTCTTCCTGTCTTTTCTGTCCATCCCTGTTGTAATTGTTCTCCTTTCACCCGTCTTTTGAAGAGCGCCCCTAAATGGACAGTGCCCCTTTTCTTCCAGATATCTGGACAAATTAGTTTCCCTTGCTTTACTTCTGACTATTTGATGAAGTAGTTTTAAGAGAATCCCCTACCAAAATCCGTTCCTTAGTAATCTATAAAATCTGTCATGCCTAAAATTTGTAGAAACGTTTTTTAGCAAATTTATGGTGAAATTTCATAAACATGTCTGTTGTTATAGTAGATTCAGGGTTTCACCCTTAGTCTTCATTTTTTTTTCTAGTATTAGCTAATCATGTAAATGATTGGTTCACGCTTGCATATTGGCAACATTATTTTTAAAAAGTGAAGCTTCAGTTAAGAGTGTATTATAAATTAATTGAAAATCTTTTAAAATTGTTTTTACGTAAAGCTCATTTCTGAATGGCTAAAATCAATTATCTGAGTCAGTATGCAGCTATTCAGTGATGGAACAGTGAATAAATGTCAGCTATACCCAATGTCTACCTCTCAAAATGACACACCATCTTCTTTATTAATCATTTGGTGCAGTAGGGATAAAAACACTGGAAAAGAATACTGTCATGAATGAATATCTCTGTTTGTCTTGGCATTTATCTACCATCAGACACAGTTATCCTGTGACATTCAGATTTCCCCTAAAAACAAACTTATGGTTTGAAACATATCAGTGATGAAATTGAATGTGGATAAATATAAAGTAATGCACGTTGGAAAAAATAACCGCAACTATACATACCATATAATGGGGATTAATTTAGCTACAGCTAATCAGGAAAGAGATTTGGAGTCATCGTGGATAGTTCTCTGAAGACGTCCACGCAGTGTGCAGCAGCAGTCAAAAAAGCAAACAGGATGTTAGGAATAATTTAGGGATAGAGAATAAGACGGAGAATATCTTATTGCCCTTATATAAATCCATGGTACGTCCACATCTTGAATACTGCATACAGATGTTGTCTCCTCATCTCAAAAAAGATATACTGGCATTAGAAAAGGTTCAGAGAAGAGCAACTAAAATGATTAGGGGCTTGTAACGGGTCCCATATGAGGAGAGATTAAAGAGATTAGGACTTTTCAGCTTGGAAAAAAGGAGACTAAGGGGGGTTATGATAGACGTCTATAAAATCTTGAGTCGTGTGGAGAAAGTGAATAAGGAAAAGTTATTTACTTGTTCCCATAATATAAGAACTAGAGGCCACCAAATGAAATTAATGAGCAGCAGGTTTAAAATAAATAAAAAGAAATTCTTCTTCACACAGCGCACAGTCAACCCGTGGAACTCCTTGCCTGAGGAGGTTGTGAATGCTAGGACTATAACAGGGTTTAAAAGAGAACTAGATAAATTCGTGGAGGTTAAGTCCATTAATGACTATTAGCCAGGATGGGTAAGGAATGGTTTCTCTAGCCTCTGTTTGTCAGAGGGTGGAGAAGGATGGCAGGAGAGAGATCGCTTGATCACATAATTGCAGCCATCTGTTTGTTCACTCCCTCTGGGGCACCTGGCATTGGCCACTGTTGGCAGACAGGATACTGGGCAGGATGGACCTTTGGTCTGACCTAGTATGGCCGTTCTTATGTTCTTATGATCTTTCATAGCAACAATTCTAATCTACAAAAATTCCACCATAACAAAAATTCACACCAGTTTTGAACTTGGACCTTCTTCTGGCCGTCTGGTATATTATGCACCTGCCTCTTTTAGACTCTCAGGCCCTGTGGCTGCATTTATGTGATCTCTGTATTGTGCAGCTCTGATGATATTTTAGTGCTTAATAAATATTCAGTTATATATTGTTTTCTTTGCTTTCTTACATTCTCTCTAATAAACTAAAATATAACGTGTTCCCACTATTCAGTCAAGTTATTTTCTCTAAAAGCATGTATCTAAATATTTGTGCATACATGCTCTGTGATAGGAATCAGGCCCAGTGTAGTTCTCTGCTTTCGACATGCAGTCCCTTGAACAACCAACTAATCTGTCTGCTATTAAAATTGTCTTTAGGCATGAGTGGTGGGTATAAGAATCAAGGGAAGGCATTGCCTCCCCTGGGTCTTAGTGCCCAACATGTTGGCTATTGCTGTCCCTGCATGCTCCTATAGTAGGTTGTTGCGGCCTGCTGAGCCTTCCTTAGGAGGAGATCTGGTAACTTAAAATGAAAAGCTGATCAGCTTGCCAAACCTATAAGCATAACATTGAACCAGTGAAAGAGCCATTAATTGGCAGTGAAACCATTTACCAGGCATATGCCAACTTGGAGGTATATACTGTCAGTTTCTGAAATCACATCTCTAAAAAATCCTTTCATAAATCCTTAGATATACCGTGTGAGTATTCATCTTTAGCCTTAAATGTGAAATTCAGACATATAGATTGTTGAATAAATTCTTCAAAAGACCACTCTTATCTAAAATACACATTTAATTTTAATTACTATAGTACAAAAATTGCTTCCAAAGTCTTCCTGTCTTTTCTGTCCATCCCTGTTGTAATTGTTCTCCTTTCACCCGTCTTTTGAAGAGCGCCCCTAAATGGACAGTGCCCCTTTTCTTCCAGATATCTGGACAAATTAGTTTCCCTTGCTTTACTTCTGACTATTTGATGAAGTAGTTTTAAGAGAATCCCCTACCAAAATCCGTTCCTTAGTAATCTATAAAATCTGTCATGCCTAAAATTTGTAGAAACGTTTTTTAGCAAATTTATGGTGAAATTTCATAAACATGTCTGTTGTTATAGAGATCACACAAAAGCAGTGAACTTTATTACGAACACACTAATTTGCTCTGACTGATTAGTTTAAAATAATGGCTTTTTTCACTGTGTTAAATATACAGTAATCTGGATTACTTTATGAAGTCTCAGAAATACTATTAAGTAAATGTAAAACAGAGAAGAGCTGCATCATCATTTTTATTCCCAAATGTAGTGCTTTTAATTGGGTGCCTTCTGCATATCCAGTTTTCACAATCTGGCATGCAGTTGAAAATATGCTTCATTAAAAAAAAAAAAAAAAAAGGAGGTAGATGAGTGGTTTTTTTTCAAATGCCATTTGCTTCATTTGAGTTCTGGGGTTTGACTGGAAGCATGTGAGCAGAGAGGGGAAGGGAAGAGAAGAGGGAGATGGTGAAGAGAGGTGGGGCTTGGGCAGAGGTGGGTTGAGCTCTAGAGCAGAACAGGGGTGGAAT